TTTCTAGGGAGCTAAATGATACCAAATCGTAATGACATCTTGCCTTTTAGACAGTATTTGTGGATCTATCTCCCACATGTCATTAATACTCAGTCCTCTGCATTGCATACAAAGTGGCTGGCTTCAGTATCTTGACTAAAGTGTGGAAGGTCCCCTTGTCTTCACAAGCCTAAGGATAGCCACCTTCAGTCAATTGTATTATTGAGATTGGTATTTATCACTAAATAGCATTTTCATTTTACCCTCTTCTCATTTTTTTTTACCCCATTTTGCAGATAATCCCTCTTCTCATTTTTATACAACCAGGCAAAAGGCATTAAAATGTTCAAATAATGCCATAAGGTTTATGTGATAGGAACGTTCCTCATCAGCTGAGGTCCACAGCCCAGATTTTCAGTACAGAAAAGGCAGTTTGAGACACCAGCTGAAGAAGCATGCTTGAGTAATTGTTTACAAATTCCTGCAGAACTAGGAATCACACCCATGTCTCGGAATGAGTCCCACATGGTGCTGTGGGAATCAGGAGTCACACACCAACTGCCATAGCCTGTGCCTTTGGGTGTCTGTTTCTGGGTGCACCGTGAGCAGAGTCAGGCTGATCCTCACCAGCCGGCACCCTGCGCCTTACATACCCTTAGTGGTTTGCTCTATATCCTTACTGACCTCATAGTTTACTCAGCGTCCCCCGGACAAGCCCCCGCACTTACAAACATACTGTGTACGACCAAGTTCAGAATGAATATCTGCAAAATACTACTTTGGACACACCTGTGTCCGCTAAAGTGATCTTTTGTCGTTATCCTCCCGACTCTTTTTTTTGTGAATCATTTTCTCATTTATAAAAGAGTTTCCACTGGGCATGGTGGCTGATGCCTGTAATCTCAGCACTTTGGGAGGCTGAGGCAGGCGGATCATTTGAGGTCAGGAGTTTGAGATCTGCCTGATGGTGAAACCCCATCTCTATTAAAAATACAAAAAAATTAGCCAGGTGTGGTGGTGCATGCTTATAGTTTCAACTACTTGGGGCAGAGGCAGGAGAATCACTTGAACCCGGAAGGCGGAGGTTGTGGTGAGCCAAGATCGCACCATTGCACTCCAGCCTGGGCGACAGAGTGAGACTCTGTCTCAAATAAATAAAAATAAATGTTTCCCAAGTCTCCTGGTAACTCTGGCTTATCATATAGCCCTTATTATATAGTCATGTATATGTAACAAAGGCATTATATAGTTCCCATGCTTAACAATGGGGATATGCTGTGTGCAATTGTTAGACGATTCTGTCATTGTGCAATCATAAAGTGTGCTTACACAAACCTAGAGGGTATAAGGTACTGCACACCTTGGCTATATGGTATAGCCTATTGCTGCCAGGCTACAAACCTGTGCAGCATGTTCCTGTACTGAATACTGTGGGCAACTGTAACACAATGGTAAGTATTTGCGCATCTAAACATAATCTAACCTAGAAAAGGTACAGTAAAAAACAGTACCGTAAAAATAGTACAGTAAAAAAAAATGGGCTGGGTGTACTGGCTCACCCCTGTAATCCTAACACTTTGGAAGGCCAAGGCAGGAGCACTGTTTGAGCCCAGTGGTTCGAGATCAGTCTGAGCAATGGGGTGAGATCCTATCTCTGCAAAAAAAAAAAAAAAAAGAATCAAAAAAAAAAAAAAAAAAATAGCTGGGCGTGGTGGCGCATTCCCTGTAGTGACAGCTACTCGGGAGGCTGAGGTGGGAGGATCGCTTGAGCCCAGGAGTTTAAGGCTACAGTGAGATAGGATCATGCCACTGCACTCCAGTGACAGCAACAGAGCAAGACTGTCTCTAAAAATTTTCCTTTTTCCATAATAAATTAACCTTATCTTAATGTAACTTTTTAACTTTATAAGCTTAACTTTAAAATCTGTTTGACTCTTTTGTAATAACTTAGCTTAGACACATTGTACAGCTATACAAAAACATTTTTTCTTTATATCTTTATACTTAAGCTTTTTTTTTTTTTTGAGATTGAGTTTCACTCTTGCCCAGGCTGGGGTACAGTGCCACAATCTCAGCTCAGTGCACACCTCCCAAGTAGCTGAGATTACAGGATTGTGCTATCACGCTCAGCTTATTTTTGTCTGTTTAGCAGGGATGGGGTTTGGCCATGTCGGCCAGGCTGGTCTTGAACTCCTGACCTCAGGTGACCCATCTGCCTCAGCCTCCCAAAGTGCTGGGATTACAAGTGTGAGCCACTGCACCCAGCCTCTGGCTGCACCATCTGTGGCAGAATGGGATAGGTAAGACTGAGAACCAGGACGTCTGGCTTTTGCCTGTAACTGGCTGTGTGACCCTGGGGAAGTTCTTTCCCCTTTTTGGGTTTTAGTTTCTTCATCTGAACAATAAATGAAAGACTAGGCAATTGGTATGCTTTTCATACATTAGAGAGTTTTTCCATACCAACATTCGAGAAGCTAGCTCCAGATACCCTCTGGTGCCCCTTCTCTTTCATGAAAAAAGTCCAATACTCTGACATAGTTTGGATGTGTGTCCCTACCCAAATCTCATAGTGAAATGTAATCCCCAATCGCAGAGGTGGGGCCTGGTGGGAGGTGACTGGATCATGGGGGTGCATTTCTCATAAGTGGTATAACATCATCCCACTTGGTACTGTCCTCTTGAGAGTGAGTTCTTGTGAGATCTGGTTGTTTAAAAAGTGTGTAGCACCTCCTACAGAACTGTGAGCCAATGAAACATCTTTTCTTTATGAATAATTACCCAGTCTCCGGTATTTCTTTATAGCAATTCGAGAATGGACTAATACCACTGCCAATTTTCCTTTTCTTTTCTTAAAAAATAAAGTCCAAAATAACACCCTAAGATCCCAGGTTTTACACAAGGCAGTTGTAATCTCTCCAGTCTGCTGCAGAATCATGTGGCTGCTGGAACTGAGGCTCTCCCAGGTCCTTGTAGGAGCTGAGGGTAAGAGACCCATTTACCAAACAACTTAGAACTTTGGGCTTCAGTTTCCTTGTCTTTAAAGTAGCAGGTAGAGTTCATAAAAACAATTAACACAGGCTGCCTGCAATTCCCCTGTAATCTCTCCCAGTCAGGGGAGGCCTCAGAGGTGAGAGTGAGGACAGGAAAACAGGGATGAGTGTGATGGCTCAGGCCTGTAATCCCAACACTTTGGGAGGCCAAGATGGGAGGATCGCTAGAGGCCAGGAGTTTGAGATCAGCCTGGGCAACACAGTGAGACCCATCTCTGCAAAAAAAATAAAACAATAAACGAGGCATGGTGGTACACATCTGTTAGTCTTAGCTACTTGGGAGGCTGGGGCAGGAGGACTGATTGAGCCCAGGAGTTTTAGGCTGCAGTAAGCTGTGCCTGGGTGACAGAACAAGACTCTTAAAAACAAAAAACAAACAAACAAAAAAACCCAGCACAGGAGGGAGGGGCTATGTGTAGAGGGGTATTTCCAGTGGATGGGCTACTACTGTTTTCTCAGGTTGGTCAAGATCACAGGCCCATGGAATGCTGGGGCCAGAAAGCACTAAGGCCACAGCATCAACATCTGCTTCCCAGAGCCTAACAACAAGGCCCAGAGCAATTGGGTAATGTGTTGGGAGTTAGTGAGTTTGAGGGAGAGTCTGGGTTAAAACCCAGATCTCCAGACAGGTTTAGGGAGGATCTTAGAAGTTTTAGAAAACATAATGCTTAGTTCTGGCCGGGCATGGTGGCTCACACCTGTAATCCCAGCATTTTGGGAGGCTGAGGCAGGCAGATCACCTGAGGTCAGGAGTTTGAGACCAGCCTGGCCAACATGGTGACACCCCATCTGTAAAAATACAAAAATTAGCCAGGCGTAGTGGTGTCTGTAATCCCAGCTACTTGGGAGGCTGAGGCAGGAAAATCACTTGAAGCCAGAAAGCAGAGGTTGTAGTGAGCCAAGACTGTATCACTGCACTCCAGCCTGAGTGACAGATTAAAACTCTGTCTCAAAAAAAAAAAAAAAAAAAAAAAGAAAGAAAGAAAAAAGAAAACAGGGCCGGGCGCGGTGGCTCAAGCCTGTAATCCCAGCACTTTGGGAGGCCAAGGCGGGTGGATCACGAGGTCAAGAGATCGAGACCATCCTGGTCAATGTGGTGAAACCCCGTCTCTACTAAAACTAAAAAAAATTAGCTGGGCATGGTGGCGCGTGCCTGTAGTCCCAGCTACTCAGGAGGCTGAGGCAGGAGAATTGCTTGAACCCAGGAGGCGGAGGTTGTGGTGAGCCGAGATCGCGCCATTGCACTCCAGCCTGGGTAACAAGAGC